CAGGCCACCCCGCAGCCTTCCTTTCTCCAAGCTGAACAAGCCCAGCTCCCTCAGCCTGTCTTCATAGGGGAGGTGCTCCAGTCCCCTGATCATCTTTGTGGCTCTCCTCTGGACCCTCTCCAACAGCTCCCTGTCTTTCTTGTACTGGGGGCTCCAGACCTGGACACAGTACTCCAGATGGGGCCTCACAAGAGCAGAGTAGAGGGGAACAATCACCTTCCTGTCCCTGCTGGCCATCCCTCTTCTGATGGAGCCCAGGATACCATTTTCTATCTGAGCCGTAAGAGCACACTGCTGGCTCATGTTAAGCTTTTCATCCATCAAGACCCTCAGGTCCTTCTGAGCAAGGCTGCTCTCAAGGACCACTCCTTCCAGTCTGTATGGATGCCTGCAATTCCTCCGGCCCAAGTGCAAAACCTTGCACTTTCTGTACCAAACCTCATCAGGTTCACCCGAGCCCACCTTTCTAGCCTGCTGACTTCCCTCTGAATGGCATCCCTTCCTTCCACCGTGTCAACCGCAAACTTGCTGAGGGTGCACTCGATTCCGGCCTCCACCTGGACATAGAGCCATTCATCACCACCCTCTGTCTGCAGCCTTTCAACCAATTTCTTCTCCATCGAATTGCCCACCCATCAAATCCACATCCCTCCAATCTGGAGATAAGGACGTGGTGAGGGACCAATTTTTTTTTGATGAGGCACGACTACTGGAAGATGAACTGCACTGCGTGACAGAATAGATACTGTACTATGAAACCCATCTCTCCTTCAATAGAGAGTGGAAGCCATTCAACACTATCTGGGAATGCACTGATGCAGATCTCTGGAGAACACCTGCAAGATGACTTGGTAGCTTCACAAATTGAAAGTTAGTCTGGCACAGATCTTAAAACACTAAACACAGAAAAGGGACCAGAGAAACAGGAACCCAGTTGGCTGCTTTTATTTTGGTCTGGAGAGCTGGAACACCTAAGGGAAGCTGAAAGTTATCAGGAGTTGAGAAATGAGCATGGCCTGTGACAGGTTCTCCCATACAGCTGCTCATCTGTACCAAAGAGAAGGGAAACACCTTGACTGAAGGGAGAATGCTCTTTGTATTAAAAGTAACACCTGAAGAAGAGAGCTGGAGGTGATGGATAACACAAACAGACCAGAGAAACTGAGATTGCACAAAAATGTAAACTAAAACATTAAAAAATAGCAAAGAAAGCTTCTTGGCCTTTCTGAGGCTTTGATCCAACACTGACTCCGCTGACTCATTTGTATAATTGAATGTGTTCTACTGAACACTGAATACGTATGTTCTATAAGACAAGATAATTCAGAAGTAGGCAAAACTACTATTTTTTTTTTTAATTTCCTGTGTTTGACAGAAAAAGGATACTTTGCTCTTTCCTCTTATTTTGGTGTTGCTCTGCTGTTAGACAATAACTCTTCAGAGAGTAACTCACATCTTGAAATGAGGAGGCATCTAATACTCATGATCTGCTTCAGAACCCCATCCATCATGGTGCCTTTTAATGATATAGCATTTTTTGCGTTCAGCAGAAAGAGTGGTTCATTGCTGGAACACTGTAGTGACAACACAGCTGAACCACAATACCTAAAACTAAGAATTTTTAAAGATATTTTCAGCATGTGTTTCATGAGTACTATTAATGATCCCTCTTGGTATGTTTGGCTAAATTCTGTGAGGGTACCATGGCCACTGAGCTCATGCCAGCAATCAGCACACGGTTTCTCTTCTGTTTGGTCTTTCCTGTTCCAAAGGGGCCAAAGCAGCCAGGGGAGAACCCCAGCAGCTTGGCCCAGCAGAAGCGCCTCTAGGCTCTCTAGCAAGAAAGAAAAATATTTCAGGCTTGGTTGAAGCTTTGAGGTTCTCTCAAGTTTCTGCTTCCTTCTGAAGAATAAACAAGAGGTAACAAGAATCTGCTGTATGTGTTGGTTATTCAGCCTGTGCACAGCAACTCTGATGTACCAAGGGATTTTAATCTTTGTGTAAATATTATAGCCATTCACAGCAATGCTTTAGAGGAGAAACAAAGAGATTTATTCAGCTGAAACCACAGGGAGAATGTCAATAGGCACAATGCAATTGCTTGATTTGGAGTTTAGTCCGGATCCTTGTTCCGATCAAATGAACTGTGGAATGTTTTAAAACAACTTGATGTTTGTTTTGGGACAGTGTAAGAGAAATAAGGAATGGACAGCTACAGAAATATTTGGGGAGTGACAGGGGAGGAAAGGCAGATAGAGCACTGAACAAGGATGAGAGAGATGTAATTTATTCCCAGCCTTGCCAAGTTGCCTGGTGGGTGACTCCAGCAAAGACCCTTTGCTCCAGCATTCCTAGTTTCCCCATGAAGACCCTCATAACTGTTCTCTTTCCAAATACACTTTGTTTGTAGTGATAGAAATCAATATGCTAACAGGATGCAAACTACCATCAGAAAGATTTCCTGGGATATATTTTCTATTTTGCTGTCTGGACGCTACACAGACACCACAGAAGCAACATGAAACTACTTCAGGCCAACTTCCGCAGTAGGGCAGATGGCTAAAGCACTGTGTGCCTGCCGGTTGTGGGCCAGTGAACTGGACAGAGAGCTCCTACAGTGAGATACTGTCAGCCCTAGTATTTCCGCAACTTCAAATAGGAGCCAAGGAAAACCTTCAAACAGTGCTACATGAAATGTGCTCAGTATGAAATGGAAGAAGAAAATCAAGACCACAGAACCTGTCACCCTTTGCAAACAGACTGGCAAAAGTCACAAATTCTTAAGATATTCACTGAAGATTTCTTTTTAATTTACAAGCAACTGCATTTTCAGTTCAATCCACCAGATGCAGATGATCTTTTCAAGCACTGTCAGTCTGAAGTGGTCACAAACATAACCTCCAAGCTTCAGAAACACTGTCAGCACGAAGTATTCTCCTCACCACAGAAGTATAGCTGTCGGTCATTTCAAAATTCACATGTCTGAAAGAGCATCAGGAATCTCTACAAGTGAACAAAAGGTAGTTTGGAACAAAGAGCTCTGCTCTGCTTTTCTCTGCTTTCTGCCCTCAAGGTAGGTCCTACATGTGCCATGGATATTCTCTACTGAAAAGTGAAAACTATGACCGTGGTATGTATGCCACTTTCAGAATACCATGCTGGCCTCAGTAAGACTGAAACAATCCTGAAAATCTATAGTTCAAGCTATGCTCAGTGTTAATTTGGCATTTAAGTGGCACAAAGGTTTTTAAGGAACACAAGAGAAGTCATTTCATCTCAGCTCTAGATAAAGAGCAAAGAAATTGAGTTGAAAATGGGAAAATGGAATCTAAAAAGTATCCATCCTGAACAGACAAGGGAAGATCAGGACTGCCTCTGCTACTCCTTAGCCAGCTGTAAACGTGCTGAGAAATTACCTCATCAGAAGACCTAAAAGAGGAAAAAGTAATCTGTCAATAAGAATAGTCTTATGTAATGTCTCATGTAGCTTTGTTTGCTTAAAACAAGTCTACTTTAGCTCTTGAGATTGCTTATAGCTTTCTGCAAGGCTGATAAAATGCTATTCTCTCAGGAAAGAAATTCAAATTTCAACCTGAAGGAGGTCTGGAAAGCACCCCTGTCAGGTGGCAAGGTCAACTGAGGGCAGCCAAATAGCAAGGTCCACTATGGACAGGAGGAGGGACTTCCAAACTTCCAGACAGAGTTCCCAATGGCAGGCAGCAAACAGTATCCATACCACAAGAAGATAATGGACGAAGACACCTCATAGCTTTGGACAGGTCTCACAGCAGCAGTTAGATACAAAATCATTACGTGAGATCCAGCAGTAACAACATTTAAAGCTGCCACATGAAGGCTTAATACAGAGCTAAGATAAGTGAATTTTCTCTTTAGATACAGAAGATTCTCGTGGCAGGGCACTGTTCATTACAGATGCTGATGGAGCACAGTTCCAGACACAAACTGCTCTTCATGTACTTGCTTATTTTCAGTCTTACTCTATGTTTAGCTCTCTATCTTATTCAAATCCATCCAGAAACATTATGTACTTTTTTTTTCATTTCTGAAAAGTTTAGACAAAAAACGAGAAAAGCAAAATGTAATTTAAGAAATGCAAAATGCAAAGTAGTGAAATATACTGAAACAGTCAATACATGATATCACATGTAAAAAAAAAAATTAAAGTTATGTTCTGGCAAGCTATTTTAAGATATTCTTTCTCTACTGCAGAAAGAGAGAGAAGGAGGGAGGGGAGGCAGAAGGTCATCATTTTATCTGTAAAGTCATTATTTGGGTAAAATGGAATATCTTCAAAAAAAAAAAAAAAAGGCTACTATCAGAGTTCTCCAAAAAGTGTGTGAAAGGCTGCCCAAATTCAGACTGTTTCATCAGCTCTGAATGTCTTGTACACTATTAACTGTGAAAAGATTACAGACTGAGGTAGTGTAAATGTGACTGATTCAGCATTTTTCCTTTGATATGTATGAAATAGATAATGGTAACATGTAAATTATTTGAAATCAAATAATGTTGACATTTAAGTGGTGGCCAATTAGATCTAAACTAAACTGGAAGTTTTACAGATTTTTCACTGTTGATGCAACTCTCAGCAGATCCAGGAAGGCATTGATGAATTGGTTTACCCCACTGGATAACTCTGCAAGCTGAAACACCTGCCCACTTCAATTTTGCTTCAATTAACATCTTAGGGGAGTGGACCAAATCTCCAGAAAGGGCATTAAAGACTACAAAACTTACATCCCTGTAGATTTTCATTGTACCAATAAACCATTTTCCAAATACCGCATTCCCTTCAGCAGAAGGAAGCCCACAGATAAAAGGTCCTTATTTCCAGGTGGCAAAGAGGCACCTGCTTATTTGGAACTGTAATTGGCTATCAGACTGTATTGGTTTCATGAGCACTGGTAATGTTATTAGTTGAGTAATGATAAGCAGTGGCAATGAACAGTGGATGGAAATACAGTTCTGATGAGCCATACCTAGCTCCTTTTGTATGTTGTCAGGGATTCCTGTTATAGTCTTTCTCCTTTTGACTTTCTTCGGCCGTCTTACCACCGTGTCTGTGTAAATTAGAGACCGCCGAATGCTGGCTTGGCGGTCGAAATTCTCCCCTAATACATGGTAAAATAAGCAAAGCAACATTACTTCCAAGCACGCTGACATCATGCACTTTCTTCCACTAGCTTTGTTGTAGAAATGAAAAAAAGGCATTAATAAATGATGTTAGCTTGATCCTACAGTGAAGGTTTACACTGAAGGAAAAGATACAGCACACTGTCACAGTAAGGTTTTAGACATGCATACATACTGCTCACTACTGCAGGTTTCAAAAGGAATTTGACTTCTCCTGGGTCCAATTCACAGGTGAAAGAAGCTATAATTCTATGGATGAATAGAATCCTTGCTTTAATTTGGCCTTCTAACTTGTGGGATTTGTGGGTTTGCTGACTGCTTTTGTTGTTGTTGTTATTTCTTTTTTTTGGTGGTTGCAGGAGATGAGATGATGGTTTTTTAGGTTTTTTGGGTTTTTTTTGTTTTTTTTTGTTTTTTTTTTTTTAAATATTGAGCTGTGGAAAAAGCAAATCTGTTCATGAAAATGAAAAACTGCAATGGTTTATACAGGAACAGACATTGCTATTGGCAACAGCTATTACGATTTCCGTGCAGACCTCCATCATTAAATCAAATTCGTTTTCGTTCCAAATTGCTCTGAACCTGTCAAGTGTACCATATTTCTGGTGGTGATCTCTTAACACAGATACAAGTAAGTTCTATGGAGCATGCAGAGATCAAACTGATTTTAGGAGCTCATGAATATTTCAGTTAGAATGGAAGCTGCTTAACAATGAAATATTATAAATGACTATACATATATGCAATGGTAAGAGTTGAAAAAATGTGTAAATGCACGTTGCCAGATAAAACCTTATGATGACCATGGGCTGTATCCTAATGGGACCCAGAAGCACCACTATCATTAAGGTTGAGCAGCTTTTCTTTAGGAATTCACTTTTGTTGAGAGGTTTATAGTTTGGCCATTTTACAAGTAGCAAAATAAAATTTGCCCTCTAGACTGTGCTCAAACAATTCTCTACATTTCTAAAAATACAACCATCCCCAATCTCACACATAAGTTTCCTTACTAGAAGTTAAACAATTTAAGGCAGTGACAAAACATCTAAAGTGTCCTTTAGATGACCTACTTAAAATTTAAACGCAGAAGTAGTTTGATATGCATGTATATATTTTTGCCTTTTATGCTTTCTTGAAAATTCATGACCAAATTATTTACCTCTTAAAAGTGATGAATGCACAGTAACTAATATGTCATAAATATTATCCCCGGTAGACTACACATCAGTATGATGTGTGTCATGCAGACAGTGTAGAAAACCACTAAAACAGTTAAAGACACAGTCATAAGGTAAAGCATAGCATACGGAATAATGAAAATACAAGGAAAAATACAAAGCAGTTTCAATCACCATATTGTAAATATAAAGACTCTGACTCTTTTTTAACGGGTCTTGTTCTCCAATGAAGCGCACTTATGCTGGGCGGAATCCTTTCATCTACAAAGCGTCACTTTCATCTGAGTTTCTGATTGACTGAAATGAGGGCAGATAAAGGGAGGAGGAATCTCATGGGATCTGTGAGATATTGAGCTACGAATCCCATGGGCTTCACAGAAGCCCCAAAACACTGAGACAAAATATCCAGTGTCTGAGGCATTACTGCTATTATGATGTTATCACTCACATGGAGTCTGAGTTGGGACTATTAAATAATCCTTCTATATAGGATGATAACTAGCCACATAATAATGAATTTAAAGAATTCAAAAGACAGTGTTTGGCATCTCTAAACATATCTTGATCCATTCAAAGCCAGCGATTATGCCTGAGACAGTAAGGGGCTAGAAAATTAAAATTTGGCTTTGGATAATCTCAACTAAAATACTATGCAAAATGCTAAGTAGAAGGGGTGCAAACAAGAAGACAGTCTTTTATGCATAGTTTAAGGCATACCAACAGGATGACTTGGGAAAAGTTATTGTGTCATCTGATCTACACTAACTTCTCCCTCTGTGCTAACAAAGAGCTAACTCAACAAACCCTTTTTCAGATGGTTTCAAAATAGCTTTTTCAAAGACACTGTGCAAATTTATAGAATTTCAAAGTAGTTGCTTCAATAAACTCTAAGTCAACAATCAAAATAAAAACGTTTCAGTGTTTTCTACTCTTCATTGTTATCTTGTTTTTAGAAAATACTGATCTTAACATATTATTTAAAGATACTTTTCTTCCATTGGGTTTGTAACAAATCGTCTAAACATTCCTCATCTAGTTTACTCAGTTCTTCCTCACATTTAGTCAGTTTTCTTGGATTCACTGGAAATATTTAAGTATGTGTTTAAATCTCACTTAAGTCAATCAAGCAGGACTTAAGCAAACGCTTAAACGTTTTCCAGGATCCATTCTGCCGCCTATCAGCTCCACCACCACCAGACTCCTCCATCTGGAAAGAAAGTTAGTTCCAGAAAACCCAGTACAGGAGACACCATTATACATTTTAACCCACAGGATATGTAAAAGCAAAGACTGGCCACCACTGAAAATTCAGCCCAACTCCTTCCAGGCCAGAATAAGCTCAGTCCAGCCACCCTCAAAGACTGAAACATCCTACAGATTGAATGTCTAGTTAGCAGCTTGTCAGCCTAATGCAAAGCTCCTGCACCTTCAGGCTGTCCAACAGATTTTTACTACCCCTGCATTAGCTGCAATCTGCTTAGCAAGGAGCCCCAAAAGCTGAAGTAGCAGAGCATTTGTTGCACAGCCACGTGACAGGCTATTGTAGCAGGATCATTACTAATGGACTGCTGAAAATGCTGTCACCTCTTCTGAGGTTAACGTTTTATTTAATGCCAGGAGTAATAAATGGAAATGTTTTGACCTCTCTTCTGGGAGAGTAAGAAAAAGAGCAAGCAAAGGAAAAAGCCGAATCAAAACAAAAACCAGCTACGGTTTGTTCATCAGCACGTTTAACAAATGGCACAGAATTTTTGGTCTTTTTTTTTTTTCCTGCCTCACATAGTAACATAAGGAACTTCACAAAATAGAACTACTCACAGTGTGGGAGGGCAGAGGAGGGGAGCAGATTGTGACTTTTTAAAGGGGAACAAGGACAGCAGCTTTTTTTGTATGTGTGTGGGGCTCAGTCTGTTTTTCTCACTTGTCTTGATGCAAAGCAGCAATACAGCTATTTCAAGGCAAAAGGAAACTAGTTTCCAGAAACCAGCTCACGTACTGAAAGAATAGTCTTTCTTCCCCATCCTTGCTTTGTATGCCTTCCTACTATCTTGATTTTAAGGAATGAATGCCATGCAACACATTCCAGGAAGCGTAATAAACGTGTACTAGTTTCACCAGAAAAGTTGAGAACTGCTGCACTTGCTGGGGGCAAGCAAACTCACGCAAAGGGCTCAAGGTTTGCCACAATATTTGAATTAATCTGGTTGAAACTGTAAGTGTAACTTACACAAATGCATTAATGTTTCCTGAACGTTTCCTGCGACACTGAATTAAATTCAGGACAGCTATTTGATCTCTTTTACCTCATTTTTCTTTCCATCTATTTACTTCACCCATTTATTTTCAGGACACAGGATCATTAAATCAAATGGCAGATTACCCATTCTGTAAGTAAACTGTCTTCCTGCTGTTGCAATATCAAAACCATGCTCAAGCTCATTGATTATGTCAGATAATCCACTGTTCCCACAGCTCTGCCTTCTACGCTCATATACTACATTTCCTAGATAACATGAACAACTCTAGTTACATTTCAGCACTGCATGTTTTCCTTCTATTCATTTTCCAGAGGTGGAGCATTCATAATCTTCCGCTGCTCTCAAGTATTTCCTACTGTCTATTTAAGGAAACATTTCTTAGTGATTTCTCAGAGCTCTCTAATGTTTATCACTGGCCTTAAACTACACCTTAAAACTTAAACAGACACCTTCAGTAAGAGAAGTAGTGCTCCACTGCTACAAAACTGTAATTTATAAAAATACTTGTGGGGGAAAAAAAAGATAATCACATAGAAAAAGAGAATTCCTAACTTACTTTCACAACAAAACTGAACATAGCAAGCTACTGATTGTAAGAGTGAGCTTGGAGCCAGAGAATGCCATATGGCATTTGAATTAAATTGGATATTGAATATCATCCCAGTTTTGGCAGGCAAATGGTCAGTTATTTGAATTAACTAATAATAAACAACCTTGATACTGAACAGAGACAGAGGGATTATTAAATCAAAGTGATTACTCAATCTTTCATACAAATTCTATTTACACACATCAAAATATCTATGCAACGTTAGACTTCATTGTAATTTAAGTTTCACTGAGTAGGAATTCTGCAACAGTGAAACCAAAGAGCATTTTGAAAATGGAGAATCAATATACAGCTTGCATGTAGAAAACGTGGGCTACTGTCATATAAGTTGATTGTCATACCAAGTGCCTCAGTTGAGGACAGCCTCATTAACCTTCTGTTCTTTCCCTACTCTCCTTGATACCTAAACCTCTTATTGTTGATGAAAAGGAGAATCAAGGATTCTTTTCTCAAATTTTGTAACATTTAGTTTTCAAGATACAGAAGTCTCTGATAACCTTCCTTAAGTAAAGATCCTAGAAGAAAATCCTAAATATCATTAATATTTTACAAAACATGATTTTCCATTATTTATCTTTAATGAAGCCTACAGTAACAGTGCTTTGTCAATCATCTTGTATTTAATGAATATCTAATTTTGTTTCAAGCCCACATTGTGTAGACTAACTTCATTAATGTTCATTTTAAGGAATTTTAAGTTTTTCTCATTAAGTGCAGACAAAGACTATTAAATGCAAAATACTGTTTTCACAGAAAGGTGCAAGAAGTAACATTAAATTCATGCATCAAATATTTAACATTTGAGTGTTAAAGTATCACCTAATGGGTCTCCTATAATCCCTCCCCTCCCTAACCAGCATAATACAATTTCTGAAGTTAAAAGCCTACCAGTCACATTAATAGGAACCACATCTGTTTGGACTGCCTGTGCTTGCTGTCGCATCTTCTCTTCTGGTGTTGGCAGTGGAAGCGACTTAGTCCAGTTGGTTTGTGTGTTGATATCTGATAACTCACTTGAAACTGGGGTTTTAGGCCTTTTGATGGTGATAAGCTTTTCTTCTTCTGGGGAAGAGACAGAACACTGCAAATAGACATACATGCAACAGTGTTAGTTCTCTACTAGAAGAACAGAGGACTAAGTACTAAGGTACTGCTGCTGCAGTCAGCACGATGGCTTGTGGATACACCCTCACAAATAACACACATCTAATTTACAAGCAACTTTTTAGAACACATGAAAAACCAACAACCACCAAAAATCCAACAGCAACCAAAAAATAAAAACAAAACAGAACAAAGGAAAAACAACTCTAGACTGGATTTACCCATGACATCTGATCAGGTTTAGAACCATATAAATGAAAGAGGAGCAAAGCACAGTAAATAATTATCTTACACATTTACATTGCTCCTTCAGCAAGCAACCCCTCTTGCTGTTAGAAATAATGGATGGAGGTTTACCTCCCCTTCCTCTCTTCTCCGCAGTGTCCCATTGGGAAGATGAAGCTGAGCCCTGCTTTGATGTAGCTGTACTAAGCTATAAGGTGGGTAAGGAAGACATCTATTAGGAAGAGACATATTTAGGGAGAGCTCTGTAAATGACTCAGCCAATACACTTAACCATCAGCCAGGGATCAGTGTGGAAAAGTGCTGGCTTTGGAGAAATTCATGCTTTGCTTGTTTTTAAAGGTGAAGTGGTTAAAAGTATTAGTATACGTACAATGGTCATTTCTGAAGTTGTTCCTTATCAAAAGTGTTAGATATCACATCTATGACGGACATTTTACTTCAAATAAATGAATAAAACCTTTCTGCATCAGAAAAGAGGTTGCAACGGCTTGTACAAATCCTTCCACCAGCCAAATTTATAATGCCAAAAAAGACATTTCCTTTACGGAAGCAAATCTGTTTTCACTGCAAGGGACCTCAGGTTATCCCAAGAGCAGGAGAGGAAGAAAGACTTGGAGGAAGAAGCAGCTCCTCTTCCTCCTGCCTTTGGATACAACAAGGAAGAGGACAAACACTTCTGAGTGTAGAGGTTGTAGGGACAGCAGAGACCTCTGAAGCCATCCATCATGCCATGCCCTGCAAGGTGGAATCTGTTCTCTGCCCCCAGACCAGTTCCTCACCATCACCATCTCTTTGTTCCTCCCACTGTCTGCAGAATACCACCCAAAATGGGGCTGCTGACACTGGATTGCCACTCTCCCCACAGTTATTTCCTGGCTGCTTGAGAGAGGTGTAACTGTTGTTTGTAACAGATGGACTTTCACTGTCATTATTAAGTCTAAGTGATTTGCTCTCTCTTGAAGCTGAGTGGCACACAAAGGCATGACGAAACACCACGCTGCAACCACTGTTTATCATTTCTGATTTTAATTTTCTCCTTGTCATCATGAGAAGTTCCCACTGTTTATAAATAACCATTTATTCATACCACTGTGTACTGTCAATTCATTCAAACAGGACCCAACATTTCACTACAGATCAATAAATCAAAGCAGATTCCAGGCAAAAAGTAAATTAAAAATTGGAATCCCTTCAGGTAATAATAACAATACACAAATATAATGTGAATGTTGCTTTTTTTACGTGTGTCTGTGTACATACATTGCTTATAAATGTACACGGTGCAGGCACACCTAAAGTACCTACACACAAATGGAGGTGCTTTCCCATTTCAAATCACTCACATTTATAAAAACCTCCACTAGCTTGAGCAATGTGGGAGAGAAATGCCACTGCAGATGGGAAAGCTGCCTTCAGGCTGTGCCTCCTCCAGTTTGTTCCACAACAGCTCAGAGCAAAAAAGGCAATGCAACCCACATCTCTGTGGTAGCCTATATGGGGCATCACTGGTGTTGGAAGTGCATGTGTAAGCACTCAAAGGACTAATCAGAGGATGGAGAGGAGAAATACCATCTTCCCTCTTGTACAAATAGCTCTGTCTGCATCGGCACAGCGAGGGAGGCGCTGCAAGCCTGGCTTTGCATTTTGTGTGGTGAGTCTGAGCTGCAGCCACCTGCGGATGCTCTGCTTTGGGTGACAGCATCAGCACCAGTGACAGTCACGTTCAGACACTGCCAGTGCAATGCCAGGTCTCAGCTGTCAGTTACAGTCACCAGGGCTACTATAAAATGTCAGGTGACAGAGATACGGGTTACAAAGCTACCCTTCCTTCCCCAACAGAAAAGCAGGACACTTCTGTTACAGAATACTAACAGACAGAAAAACTGGCGGACTGAAGCATTGACTGTGAGGGAATCCTAGTTATACAAAAAAAACATGGAACAAACATCAGAAATTTTACAGAATTAAAAGGCCAGAAAACTGAGAAAGGATGGAGGAAAGAGGACAGAAACTGATTGGTACAGTAAGTACATAATGAATGAAAAGCAACTGATAACTCAATTGTGCAGCTGTGGCCAAGCACTGCTTCAGTAAAAGATGACTACTTTTGGACAGCGGTGCATACTGCAAAAAAAGTTCAGTAGGAGAGCTGCTGGTTTTGAATGTAGGAAGGAGTGTTAGTGTTTCATCTGCAAGTACACTTCCTGTGGTTTCTGGATAAGCACAACCATCTCTACTTAAATCCCTTCTTCCAAAGTAGTCACAGTGATAGTGGTATATTTACTTGCTTTTTGATGTAAAGATTCTTTCAAAGGGCAGAATAGGTCAAAAGCCATACTTAACTATCCTGTGCAGAGTAGAAAGCAGCTCATTTTTCAACTACCTTCACACAAATTTCTTATCTAATTTTCTAGCTATGACAAAATTACAGAAGAGAGAAAAAAATATTTTATACTTCATGTTCCTTTGTGAAAGTCACATGTTTTTAGAAAATGTACCCTGATTTACAATACAGAATTTTGCAGAAAGAATCAACAGATTGCTGCTGTACAGACAGAAGTGTCTTTTGAGGTGAGGTCTGCTATATGAGAAATAGCACTGGACTGTGCTTTGAGCTCACACTATCTGCTCAGCATAACACTCAGCATAAATCTCAGCATAAACACTACTTAGAACAGTTAGCACCCCTTCCATTTTTAAAGCATCTCTGACTCGGAACAATTTTATAGTTTGATTTATATGATCAAATTTCTATGCAGTTTCCAAATGGGATGCTACAAACACCTCTAAAAAATCCATTGCATTTGTGCTCTTTAATGGATCAGGGAAGAAGGGGAGGCAGTAAGTGAAAATGACAACACTGGACCTTGCTGTCTTTCCATAAATATGCTTTAGAGGGGAAAAAGCCTGAACTTTCTGAAGGGAAGATGAAATGAGAATGCAGGGGAGAATGACTCATGAGTACACCACAGTCAGAGGGGAGCATCTTGGCTCACAAAGCTAGAGCCCCTCCACTGCCTTGCTGACTTCTTGTCCCCTGTCCACTCAGGCACTGTAATACATAACAGCTTCACTCATGCTGCTTGAGAGGTCCCAGCTACAAGTGATGCCACACTGCACATCTCACAGCACGTCCCGCCCCAGGTTCCTGTTTTTTCTTAGTCTTTGTATTTTGCAATGGCTTGTACTACAGTTGGAAAAGACAGGACCTCCAGAAGAAAAAACAATCCATACAAATCTCACTTTTAAGCAAAGGACCTTAAAACTTGTAGGCATTTCATTTACCTCACTGTTCATCACAACCATTCACAAAATTAGAAATTTTCTGAAAAATAAAGTTGAGAAAAAATTCCATGCTGCTGTGGATGAGAGCCATACCAATTTAGCCATCTATTCATATCTCTCAACATCCTATTTCTTCTCCAGCCTTTTATTAGCTTTGATGGTTTTGAGCACCTTTTCTCACACATTTTCTTCTTTGAATTGCTGTCTCAACCAGCAAATTGATCAGCATTAAAAAAAAAAATAAAATGCAAAGCAGTATAAAATATCTGTGCTGATTACACTCACACACAATCATAGCCAAGGGGTGGGGGAACCAGTTGAAGGCATCACTGTCTGGAGGTATCTCCAGGTGTGCCAGCAGCAGCAAGGCTTGTAGACATTCACACCTCCAACCTGAAGCACCCCATTTCTTCAGCCCCTCTGAACACTAAGCCAAATTTTACATCAGATCTCTTCAAGTCCCTCAAGCCAATACAGTGAATGCATCTGTTTTCACTTTATGTTCTAAACAGTTTCCTGCAGATACTACAGAAAGAACTTGGTATGGCTGAATACACTGTCAAAAGTACACTTTTTTTTTGCCCCATAAATATGCAAAGGCGCTCTTTTGTTAACCAGAATTAAAAGACTATCAAGACAAAGTTCATAAAACAAATAACAGGATTTAGAGAAAAATACCATGAGATTTTTCGTAGATTGAATAAAGACATGATACAGCACATGCCTGCAAGCAAGTACTCCCTATAGCTCACGTTCATCATTTAGAAGTTATGTTACTCCAATTAGGAAACTTTTTCCTTGGCTAATTAAAAAAACAACCACACAGCCAAATAAGTAAAACACAGTGTTCACTGGGGAAGGAGTTTCAAAGGAGGCAAATGTTAATAGACCAAAAGTAATTAAAAGCAACTAAAAGATATTGGACTGTAGACAAAAAAGAAATAATGAGGAAAAATGCAGGAAACAAACCTGGCATGGCATTTTCCTGTTGAGCAGTTGATTTTTCTATGTTTAATCAATTTTTAAAAGAAAACAGAAGCAGGTAACAACTGAAGGCTAAGGGCAGAATGTAAGGATTGCTTATGTGCTAAATGCTACAAGTAACATCAAGCTGCAAATGAGACAGCTGGATGGTCCCACTTGTGGGCAAAGTACCTTGTTGCTCCAGGGAACCAAGTTACAGCAGGCGCTAATGCAAGACTGAGAGATGCAGTCTAACAGACTAGACTGTTGAGTGAGACAAAAAGAAAGAAAGAAAATGAGTGATAAAAAAGCAAGGAAGGAAGAATGAGGGAAAAAAAAATAACACACACACACAAAAGACAAATACACTTAAAATACACAATGTATATATTTCAGAACGTAAAGGAATCAGAGTTTGAAAGTGACATCTCAGTATATCCCTGGCACTAGGAAAACAGACCAGCACTGAAGGACAGCAATACTTTTCAAGTAGTGTCACCAATGGTGCTATGTAAGAGGTGACAAAGAAGGACACTGGTTACAGTACTGAGATGTAAAATCCAGGTAAACCAATTCAATCACCAACAAACTCAATTAGGATCAGCAGAAATACACTGAAATGGTGATTGGATTGTGTTCCATTAATGCAACTTACATGAATCAACCTAAGAGTAAAAGGGTAGTTCCAAGAACTTTGCTTTATATAAACTAACACCCAAGGCATTTCAAGTTTCCATGTTTTCTCCTTCTGTCTGCTTGCTTTTTGGGTTGGACTAACTAGCCTGTTTTACCCTATGGGCTTTGCTTTGAAACAATAACACTTCAACATCTTTTAAGAACTGCATGTTTTGTAGTATGAATATCACCCACTGGTAACTGACACCTCCACAAAAGAACATTTGTGGATGTAGGTCTTCTCTTGTGTGATCTAAGCCACGGTTTCATATTATGTCTCCAGTGAAGACAGACAAGTGGAATATTTGTCTTTTTTCTTTTTTTTTGAGTAGATAAAAAGAGTGTGGAAAGACAGCTTCCTTTGTGAAAGCACCACACAGTAAAACAGAGGTTTTATGAAACATAGCAAATAGGTCAACCTAGAAGTAAATTTACAAGCAGTAAATAGCTATTCATTCATCTATGATTATTCTGTTATTCTCAAATTTCAGCTGGTGCTGCATGCACAGAATTTAAACATTGGCTGCCTTGCTTTGAATAGACAACAAAGCCACAAAGCTTTCATCTACTGGTAAGGAGTTCACATTCTGAATCATGGGATTTGGTGACCTCAGCTTCACATTATTACTGAAGAACTATCCTAACATCTGAAAAACGACCGTCTCAAGGCATAAGTTATCAGAAGTATTCTGTATTTTACCAGTGGGACTATAATTCAAGTTCAGAGACCCGTTAAGCGCTCATTTTTAAAAAATAGTAAAATTTTATGTCATTACATAATGTAAAGCCAAATAAAATGATGCTGGTGAAAGGTCATCATAAAGCACTAGTTTTACAACATGAAGGGAGTGTGTTGCACTTTGTAAGGGATTGGCTTTAGATTACAGAGCTGCAAAAGAGTGTCAGGGTTATGGTTTAAGTTTTGAGACAATCATTAACACCTTATATTGTCATTTTGACCACTTTTTCATCAGCTTTGAATCATGCCTACAGCCAAAAATATCTAAGGGAAACTGTTCTAATTTGAAGTGCTATCCTTTCCTTGAAGCATAACTAGCTGCACCAAAATTTTTCAAACAGTTAATGCTGTCACCAGTGCAAATCATAATTCCACTGATTTCAGGAAGGTTTTGCAAATTGTCATTGTTTTACATTTGCTACTTGCTGCCAGTACATATCATAAAGAACTCAATGGGGTGCAGCAACACTCCCTGCCAATACGCAGATATAAAGCAATCAAATACTGGATGAGGGACTGTACATGTTCTATGATAATTTTTATTATGTGATTTAAAAGCACGGAAGACAGCACTCAAACCACTGAACCCTTTAAACTGAGTTCTCAGGATCTGCACACTTGATATACAGACAGGATTATTTGGTCTGTGCTACAAAAGTGCATATGGCAGAGTAACACTTCAAAAAATCAAACTTTACAAGTAACACTTCATAAGTAACATTTTGGGGCAAAGCATTATAGAATATCTGTCTTGAAAATCCCAGGAGCTCCAGCATTTCAGGTTTGGACAGCCAGGCTCCAGAGTATCTTGCTGTCTATGCCAGCACTACCATCTTAGCTCACATTGCTGAAGCACCAAAGTTAGCCACAGCTTGTCTTTGGAGCCCACAGACACAACAAGGGAAGGTGAAGACAGAAGAGCAATACTGCAGGCAATTAAACTGTAGCAGGCATATATTCATTCCAGCACTTTACTCTTCACCATTACCTTTTGTTCAATTTCTTCATAATCATCCTGGTAACTTCCACAGATTGCACTGGAGGACGAGGAGAAGGTGGGACCCTGAGAGTAATACTGAGAGCTCCGATAGCCATCTCTCCGCAGCTTGTCACACTCTGCCAAAAGATGGGGAAAGAAGAAATCAATTTATTACCAGAGCACTTACTGTTTACACTCATAAAAATATACTGTGTTTTACTGAAAGCGGTTGCCATGCATTAGCACTGTCTATCCCAAGCAATAAAACAGAGTTGCATTTCTCATATTTTTAATCTATACTTCAGCCTCCCTTTCCTTATTTATACACGTATGCCCATGCATGTACACACGTGGCTTTTATTCAAATCAAGAGATGGCAAAAGATTTGAAGATGGAAATTGATTTATTTGTTGGTTTTTAAGTGAGGTCTGGCTCAGTATCTTGACAGATGGCAGCATCTTGCAGGATAGGAGACAGTAGCATGCAAGTAACACCAGGGTCTCATTTGCCAGGCCGGTAGACACCCATTATGTGCCTTGCACTCAGAATGATGATGTTACTCACTACTCAAGCACCATCTGCTAAGTAAGTTTGGCACTGACCACTCATCTTGTCTTCGTGCCTACAGAACAGACCATTTGCTGTGATCTTGTAGAAAGCAATGCAAAGCACAGGGATCTTAAAATCTCTTGTCGACACAAAGCATACATAGTTTATAACCAAAGAATTTTCAAAGTTCAGAAAGAATTCAGAGCAAACATGCATCTCCACTCAAATGGCCAAAATCACAGTCAGCACCTTATCCCCCCATCCAAGTCTTCTGTAATTGTCCTCCTGCCTCCTAATTGATATTCAGTGTGACTGAGCTAAAGAAGAACAGACGCCACAACATAAGGAAAAATTAAATGTTCAAGATGTGGCAACCAAATTCATCAGCTCAGTCAAACTGTTAGCTTTACACTTTCAGAGACAGATATGTGAATCTGCTGAAAGATGAGGAATACAAAAAGAAAATCATTTGTTAGGTTTCTATCCAAGGAACTGAAATTTCTGCACAACATATAGGCGTGGCACAAAATGCTTTTGTCATCATTTGCTGGGGAAAGACATTCTGAGACCGTACTATCTGTCCCCCTAACTTGATCTCTTTAGTACTCCTTAAAGTGGAAAATATGCAATGTTTATACTGAGGGAAACATTTTATAGAGGCTTTTGCTTGTCAAACAATTAACTGGAGTTATGACTTGCAACTTCAGCACGTTTCCTAGGTTGTATCAGACGTTTTTAAAACTGGATTCTGTAGGACTCCATGGGGATAGTTTAACTGACCTCGAGCAACCACAGCTCTGCAATTCTTAATCAACGTGGACTCCTTTTCATATGCACACACATATCAACAGTAAGAGTATGCAACTGACAATTAGCCATTTCCATTAGAGCCAGATGCAAGTCCCAGCCTGTTGCATGCTTCTGCATGAGATCAAGAAGGGCACAAACCCGTCACTCTTTCTCAGTTCAAGACCCTAAGCTGGCGGCAGCGGGTTCTGAGACCCAGATCAAATCTGATAGCTCAGTCAGCAAGCCTGCTTACCAGTCCCACACATGTGAGCACACCGGCACCTCACGCATCTGGCAAACAGCTGCTGGGCCTCAGAGGGGGCTGAGAAAAGGATGCCAGCAACCACAGGAAAAGAAATTCCTCCCCCGCCACTCCAGATCTGGCACCGGATCCAGGCAAACCCAGCACACAAAGCTCACAAAGACAAGCACCCCAATGGGCCAGTTTGTTGGTGTGAGCTATAACCAGCAGCAATAAGCAGGCTGCGGCAGAATGGAGCAGTATAAAGACTTGTGTCAAACTGCAGCAGAGGTTAATGCCCAAATTGTCGACTTCCGCGCCACAAGTTTTGCCTTCAGATCAGTCACTCATCATTTCAAACCAACACAAAGGCAATGCAAGATGTGAAGTTAGTTTTCCTTCCTCTCCTGGGATGAGGCCTTGGGCCCTGACCAACCACTTCTGTGGCTCTCCAGCACCAGGCATCACTGGATGAGTACCTCAAGAACCACAGGTTTTATGGAGTGCAATAGATGCATGCTTTGGTATCAGCTGCTTAGCTTTACTTATTCTTCTAACTAAGAAGATGAAGATGATGAATAGTGCACTTCAGGACTCTTCAGAACTCCCTGAACTCTTGAGGAAGACAGAACCAAAGGCTTCAAGTCCACAACAAGTTAAGCAAGTGAAATGACATTAAAACAGTGGCAGTTAATCAAGCTCAAAATCTCCATTGGTGATGTGGCTGCAGAAGTCAAGAGAATTGCTTAAATTACTGAAACTCACCCAGAGAAAGGTGACCTGTCCCAAAGAACAGGTTTTTTTGTTTGTTTGCTGTCACAGCACATTTCACAGTTCTGGACAGCGCCTGAGGTGAGCATGCTTCTGCAGAGGTTTCAGGCAGGGATCCCTGTAACTTCACATTGTAACAGCCCAACAGGAGGTCAGCCACTGTACCCAAGTGATGCTACTGTCACTGTCAGACCAAACCTTGTAACTTTTGTCTGAAAAGTGTTCTAGATGGGAAGCACACACCTCATCTGAGCGCCTTCCCAAGTTCCACATGGTCTTCTGTAAGCAATTAACTTCGGATTTTTTAGCAAAAGGCTTTATATATACATACTTTAAATATATATTAGAAAGAAGTACATTATGAAAACTTCCAGACATGGATCTTTTCTCCCAGAGGAGCAATACTGCAACCCGACTATCCAAACTATCCAAGCAGGGAAGAACGCTAGACAGAGTTAGTGAAAAACTTCCTACAAATATTCATGTTATTTCAGAGATGTCTGAATAGGTTAAAAAAAAAAAAAAAAAAAAGGAGACAGTTTCAGTTATTAATAACCTTCAGCTGTAAGAATGTACCAGTACATGAGTGCTAACTGAGCCATGGATACACACACTCTTGAACCTCATGTCAAGGCCGATATACCCGTGCTATCCAGTACACAAAAAATGTGCACAGCCTAAAAATCTCTAAAAATTGCAGAAGCAAAATTTAGGAGACTGCATCAGGCAGGACACAAACACTGATTTCTGTGGATACCCTTGCTTGAGATCAACTCTGCAGCATATGCACAGCTAGTTCAAAGCATGCTCTATGTGCTGCATTACTTAGAGTGTATCTGATCTGAATAGCGCAACAAGTATTACTGTGTCCCAGATGAAATAGTTTTCTTCCCCCAACAGCTGCCAGTTGCCTGCAAAAACAAGGAAAATGTCTCTCTGTGGCTGAGTGACTGCAATAGATGGCAGCACTGGGTAGTGCCCCAGCACAACAGCCAAACTATGCCCTCACCGTTTCCCCTTCATCAGCTCCTGAGGATAAGCATGGAGAGATGCTGTGTACCATCTCCTGCTGCCTTTCAAGTGCTTCTCTAACTAAACAGTCATAAAATAGTTCTTCGTCCTTTTCATTCTGTACTAATGATACATTATTTCAAAACTTATTCTAATATTATAATTATTGCTTAAAAATGCCTTTAATCACATTATGTTATATTATAGTTTTTCCTTACTTACATGGCTAAGTTAACTCTTCCTAGAGAAGGAAATTTTGCCTGAGGAGAGTTTTGCTGTTCACAGGGTAGTTTTAACTAAGTATAAAGAAAGTGTTTGGGAAATGTGGTCTAAAGACTTTTAAAGGTTTCCCATCACCGTCACAGTTAGTAGAGTAGGGTAGATTCAGGGGATGTGTGACAGAAAAAAAATGTGTTAGTGCTCTCAGCGCCCATATCATAATATCTGTGTTGCTGCCATTTAACCAACCCCTCGTATGTCTGCTCAGTGTTTCATTATTGCAGTTTGCTAAATCCCAGTGTAAGGCAGCAGCTTACTAAAGATGCTCTTCTTCTCACCAGCAACACATGACCTAATCACAGTTTCGACTTCCAAAAGGGGAATTTACGGGCAATCCTGCATCAAAATTTTGAGCCACAAACACTGAATTCTGCACTACTCTATAGCTTACTGAGCTTTATTAATTCTTATGTTTTACAATGTTTTGGCAATAATTCCATAGGGTAAGGCCCGAAGATCAGGCTCCAGCTTAATAGCTCAAGCTCTCCACATAAAACCTTATTGGCCTCTGTGGCACACAGTGAGGCCAAGGGTACAAAATACCACCAAGGCCACTCAATCCCACATAGATCTCTTCATTTTACACTAAGAACTCGCATGTAATTCCATTTGACCCTGAGCTGATAATGCACAGTAGCAAGCCTTGTGTATCCAAGCGATTTACAGCTTTACAAACAATATGAAACCATACTGTTACATGAGAATTTGAGACACAAATCACCTGGGTGAACAGAAGGCACAGTACTGATACCTCACTAATTCATTTGACATGGTATTACTGTGAAAAACCAGGATTAACATATAACTTCTTCGCTTAGTTCAACATCCACATCACACTGCTCCATGGCACAAGAAATGCTTGGTTTTCTAGGATGCACTAGATCTTTTCTTCTCCTTTGGTAACATTTATATGTTCTGAAGTTTTCCATTGAAACTAATCATGGAGCCTTGGAAATTTACATGAAGCAAAATGCACTGCCCTGCCAGCACCAGAGCGCTAAGAGAGAGAGAAGAGAGAAGTACTGCTCTGTAAGTAATGCTTCCTATTTCATTGAATTCCTCCACGCAGAAAAAAATTGTACCCATTGATATTCATTGATACTTGCTGAATGTTTATGGATAACCAAACAGTGGATGTGAGACGGTGGGTGGTACATTTCAGCAGTGGCAACAGCAAATCACTTCTGCTCTGGTACAGATTTTTATAAGTGTGGCATGCAGACTCTGGTTCGTCACTGGTGAAAATGCATAGGTCACAGTGGTGACGATGTTGAAATACAGCCTTTTGTAGCTGCGAATTTGTTCCATCAAATAGTGTTATTGTGCTCTTTGTATCAGTTGCAGTTTCCACGGAAATAAATAGGAGGCATTACTTTTGAAGAAACCCCCATATTAGGGTCATTTTCAGAAGCTTTCTAGAAAATGATTTCTTTTCATTGTAACGTAACTGTTCAAGGCTGTCATTTTTCAGAGGCCCCTTCACAGGAGAGCTCCCCG